AAAAAAAAAAAAAAAAAAAAAGTTGCATCACATTTGACAAACGAACAGTTGTGGTAGACACAAGTCAAAATAAAAGAAAAAACATTTTGTAACTAAATAAGCAAAAGTGATGGAAACATTTCCAATATACAACTCTCTTTAACTTTGTTCGAGCCGATTATACGATAAATATTAGCTGAGAACAAAAAAATACCCGCTGTAAAATTGCAAAGACTTAAAGGATCACAACCAAAAGAAGAAAACTGTCATTACGGACGGTTATTGTTGCTCCTGTTGTATTTACATTATTTACATCAAACTATTCAACATTCAAATTTTGCTAATTTTTACTCAGATAAACACATTTAAAGCTTGGCACAAATAGTTGCCAAAGACATATATTTCACACCAAAATCTTCAAAACAGATTAATGTTATTTTCAAATCTAATGCACTGTATAACTCTGCCGAAAAGTTTAGAAAATAAACCAAATATTTCTTCAGAATACTCTGAACGGTTGAAATGAAAAGTTCATGTAAAACCTACCATAATGACTGTAAAAATAGTTTGTTTGTTGTTGGCTAAATATCTAAAAACTTATGCCTACTAGTTAAAACCGTTCTGTAAGGTTACTTCCCGTTCATTTACCCGCCTTCTTAACACGTTGTTGCAAAGAAGTACTCTTACGACTCCCGTCTTCCCCCTTATATTATGTCCTTGGCACTTAATGTAACGTTTTAGTCATACTTTCTAATACAGCCCCGTAGAAACAATAGGAGACCAAATAGCTACTTATGAAAACTTGAAGGAAGTGGTATAAAGAATTTTGGTTTAACGTGAAAAACAGATTTGGAATTCGAGCGGCTACAAATAGTCTTAAAACAGAACACAATAACAAAAACCACTAAAATTCCTGAAGAAAAGAAAAGTGACAAAAAACAAAGCTTCTTGAAAAAAATCAAAATATTAGGCAAAAAAAGCCAACTTTGAAAATGAAGATCCAAGCAGAAAGAAAGTAAAAAACTGCAGTTAGCGACGAATATTGAACATTAAAAGCACAAACTGAAAATTCTTTGAAAAGAAACCAGCTAACAAACATTACTGAAAAAAAGCTTGATGTTGCATTATAAAAAACCACTTCACTGGTTGTAACCGCTCTTAAGCAATCGATTCCCACTCATCACCGGCACAATAATATCATCCATATTTGGACAAACAAGAAACTTCTCAATCAATAAGCGTAATTTGCTTTCTATCCAGTCGGAAATGGTAGACAAGTCAACTGATCTGTCACCAAATTGCGGCACAGCACGTATGGACAATGTTGGTGGGTGTCGAAAAGCATACCTTAAACACAAAAGAAAAAAAACTAAATAAAAATTTCAGCATACGCAAAAATATTACATGTCAACAGGTTAATTATACTTTCGAAGACAAGCAACTTTGGAAAAATCCTTTGCAAGAAATTTATACTTACCAGAGGCGATCAGACGGCGGTGGAGGCAAATTGAGGGTCATTGTACCTTCAACACAAGTTACGTAAACGTTAAGCATGAGTCGTGTCGAAGAAATTCCTTCCATCATCTAGAAACTTTAAAATTAGGTTAATCCAGAATTAACTAGCCACGCAATATAAAATAAATCAGGATAAAATCAGGATACAAATTAGTTGTTTAGGTCCAGTATCAAAAATACGCACTTTTTTAACAGGTTTCAACTGAGAAGCTCCCTGAAAATATTTGCTACTAGCTATTTTATCAACTATCGAAAGAATTTTTTTCCCTGTTCGTTCCTTCGCTGGTGGAGCAGCCCTGCAAACCTCGAGCTATAAAAATTCTCTAACTTTTACACGAGCATAACGAATGCATTAGAAAAACAAGCCATAATAAACTTAATACTTTTCAGTCTTTGACCCAAAGTCTTCATCGGGGCTACTTTCTGGTGATTCAGGTAAATCTTCGTCAGAATAATGGTGGACACGAATAGAACTGGTCAGTTTGCTTGTCTTAAAAATGAAATTTAAAGTCAACCAAAATCTAGTACTTAGTAAAACTACCTTCTTCTTAGCGTCAACACGTTGAAATCCATCCCTCAACTTCATGAGATTTACTCGCGTTTCTAGTACAAGATGTATTCGACCATGATACTTCAGCTAAAATTGCAAAATTATCACGAAAAAAAAAAAACATAATGCGCCATTCCACGTCTATCTGCATATTTTTCTCACCTGATATCTTAAAAATTTCCCAAATTCCTCTGACTAACAGAGTCTAAGCCTGAAAGCCGATGAAAGAGTTTGAAAACGTGAATTCGTCCTCCAAGTCAAGCTTCCCAGAGTTGCGAAATTCGCCACGTTGACGCTTGGCATGCCTGTCTTCGCAGACTTATAATTCACTTTACGCTCAACCTAATTTTAAAATTTTTAGTTTATTAGAACTACCACTTAGTTTTTAATGCATATTAAATCAATTAAACCACTTAATCTTGCGAGACAGTTATACGAATACAATAAAAACAAGATAAAAAGTACGGCTTAAAATTTTTTAAAGAAACCGTATTTTGCGAATTTTTTGCTCTATAAAGTAATAAAAATTAGCAATAATATATCTGCAGAGTCGCGTGTTACGAGCTGAAAAGAATGTAAGATTGAAAAAGAAGCAAGGAAGCATGGGAAGGAAGAAACGCTACAATAAAGTTTACTCTTACAGCCCCTTACAGCACAATAATTTACCAACAACTTTTGAGAAAAGCACAACTTTTTAACACTGCTTCCACAACTAGAAATTTAAAGATATCTACCCTTCGTGGTTTTCAGGAACGGTTAAAAGCAGTTTAGCCACTGTGAAATTAACGAATTCAGCGTGAAAGTTTTTAGCTTTTTTCAGGCTCGTAACTCTCAACTCCAAAAAAAAAACACCATCACTAATTTCCGTTAAGTTATAAAAAGAACTTTTATACAAACAGCCTTTTCAAAAAACTAAAAACTACGTTCTTTTTTCTATGCTTATTTAAAATCTTGTTTTAATCGTATCTGTACAACTGTATGGCAAAACTGAATAATTTAATAGGCATTCAAAAACAGATGGCAATTCTAACAAACTGAAAATCTGTGAATTAAAAGCAAGCTTAATTACGAGTCATGGGCATGTCAAGCGGTAACTTGGCAAACTCTGCGACCTTGAGAAAATGTAACTTGGCGGAGAATCCATTCTTTCATGCTCTTTCTGCGGTTTTCTGTACAACAGCCTAGACTCTAATAAACAGCAAAGTTTAAAAAAATTCTAATATATCAGCAGTGAGTAAACTAACACGGAAAGATCCTGGTGGTTAACCGGTCAGTTAAACAACTTACTTCAAAATCAACCCATAAACCCCACTCATCCAGAGACGGAGAATACACAGAAGCAATTTCAGGTGTAACGTTACCAAGATCAAGATTCGACAATTCCAATGTTTCGATAAAATATGGTAGCTATAATAAGTGTAATTTACATAGTTTATCATTTCAAAAACAAAACAAATTCAATAAAAAAAACAAAGTTTCTTCTTGTTTCTGTTTTTTGCTGAATTTACACCTGCTCGAAGACGACTGCAGTCAAAAGTTCGGTACTGAAACATTATTTGACGGGTATAATTAACATTATACTTACGTGAATAGTTGCAAGCTTCGATTGGATTTTGTTTTTGACCTGGTTACACCAATAGGTATCACGACAGAAATCGAAAAAAATCCTGAAAACAGGCTCCAATAAATAATATAATAAGTATCTGAAAGAAAACCTTTGATGGTGGGAAGCATTAATTTGTACATTAATGAATACTTCTTAAAGCTTCATTTCAAAACTTCTCTCTTCAAAATACGAGACAGACAACTTTGGGCCATTTGAACAACAGTTGGACGCACCCACTCACAGATCAAATACGATGTAGCAAAGAATAGTAGCAAAATAGTTGAAAAAGTCTTGTATCTTACCTAGCAGCAATAGCGTTGGCAGTTAACACTAACTCTTTGCCAGCAGGAGTACCTTTATGCCATTTCAGTCTCCCTAAATCCATACAAACCACATTTTCAAAATCCTTCGTTTCCCTATCATGATGTACATCCGGCAAAACCTCAGACATAGCCCTACAAAAAATTGATAATTCGAAACATAAGAAGTAGAAGAGCATTAGATGAACAAAATTCTTTAAAGTTTTCATGCAAAATTTCGTATAATTTTAATGCAATATAGCAACAAAAATGAAACATTGCAAAAAAGAAGTTAAAAACGCTTCAGTTTTCAAAATTCTAACAAATAAAAATAAAACTTGCTTTTCAAACTGTACTCGATTACTGATATATTGTAGATGCTCAAAACTGCCACCAAATAACAGTTCTGATACTGAAGGAACAGACCTACTGCGTTCAAAAAGTTTTGAAAAGACAGCTCTCCTATCAAGTAAATTTTCGTCATTCCGATTTGACAACTGAGGGTCATCCTAAAATAAAAAGCTTGAGAGAATTGATTTAAAATCGGATTTGATAAATTTAGTTCTTCTATTTTAGTTCAATAAATAAAAAAGTATAAATTTTGAAAAATGCTGTTAAAGGAACGAACTGAAGAAGGATCAAAGATGGAATCGGTACAATGAGATGGCTTAAAGTGTTGGCTGGAGGCTTCGCGTAACCTGCAAAAAACGATATACCTGTAAAAAAAATGCAAGTTTTGTAAAGCCTATAAATTGAAAATACAAACCTGTGAAACCAACGTTCTTTCTCACGAGCACTGCGAACGAATAAAAATAAGCTGGTCCCACATGATTTAGTCTTGCTATGTCGTTTAAATTCTGTAGTTTCAGAAAAATCTCCCAAATCGCCAGTTGAATTTGAACGATTGTCTTTGATAAACTGGGCTGAGCCTCAAATATAATGACCTTTGATTTGAGAACTGAGTCATTTAAAAAAAGTTAAGCTCGTACATTCATTGTCACTATCAAAGCTGTCCTCTGTATCGCCTTCTACACCTGTAAAGTCAGACACGTTGCCGTCTTCTTTCACTGATTCCCTGAAAAAAAAAATGAATACCATCCACCTTCGTTCCCTAAGCAAAGCTTGAATCGTAAAAAACCATTTTTCCAAGCGAAGGGTCTGCAAACCTATTCCCTTGCTGAAATGAATGGGAACGATGCATTACAGAGTCGATCGTTGAAAGTTCACTTCTGGTAGAGGGAAGACGAATATGTATTGGATACTTGCGACTCCACCAACGTCGAGCAGCCAAACGTTTCGGTCTCAAAGAGACCTAAAAAAAGCAGTGAATAAACGAGGAATATATGCCTTACACGTAGAAGGAAACTACCTTTGCTCCAGTCAAGTCATAGATGCTGTGACCAACTATAGTAGGCTCTGGTTCAGTCAGAGTGGGATCAACATGGAACGTATGCTTTAAAACCGCCCGTTCAGGACGACTTATACGCAAGATGTTGCCGTGTAGTCTTACCAGTACTGTCTGCGTGCTATTAACGTGATAAGTGGCCGAATCGTATCGACCACGAAGCTCATTCATCCACCCCTTGAAAAAAAATTTTCCTTGATTCTGGTCAAAGAAGTTCCAGGATACAAATTGATGTAAAAAAACCAGTAATAAAAATGAACACCTTATAAACAGTTGTTCCACAAGCGTGGCTTTCTTCCGAAACAGATGGATCAGGGAACGGACGTTCAGTAGCTTTTGGAAACTTATGTCCTGCTGAGACAGGCTCAGAGACGAAGAAAAACAAAAACGATACCACCGATATGTACAAGCCCCACAGTAATCCTATCAGGAATCCTAAATATTAAGTCGGTTTAGTTTTGCATAATACGCTGCATGATTCCAATTAGTTACTTTTCTACTGACAAAAAAATAGGAAACAAATGTTAAAAACTAAAAATAGAAATTAACCCGACGACATATAAGTTAGGCCAAGGAGTACTACAAATACTGTTAAGCGGTACTGAAAGAACGGCAACTTGTAAAACCTGAAAAAGCCGGAAAAATAATTTTCTAAGATAAACTTTATACCGCAGAACTTCTGCAAATGTAGATATTGGAATTTGGTGGTCAGGTGTAAAGAAATTTTGAAAAAAAGTGTTTTGCCGTTTTGCATATCCTTTATGCTGACTTAATTCACAACAAGACATAATTCTTACAGCTCTGCTTTGAATAAAACCCCAAAAAAACCCTTATTTTGCTCACGTAATCCAAGCTACTACCACACAGTTTTGAAATGCCGTCAAAGAAAATTATATATTCTTCTTCCACTTAATTTCAATTAGATTTACCTGTTAAGTAATGAACAGATATAACCTTCAGTCAATGACTGTTAACATAAAAATTACATAGTCTAAGCTATGAAAGAAAAAGTTGGTCCAGTGTGATACCTCATAATCAGTGGATGAAAATACGTCTGTTGTGAGTCACTGTTGTATAAACTATTATTTTCAGCAGCTTGCTCTCGTACTGCTGACAACAGCCATCGTACAAGGACCGACTCCTGCCTCGAACCCTACATAACAGGATTACATGACTACTACTTGAACAAACCAAAAAAAAAAAGGAAAAGAGAACAAAATTTAAAGACTCCAGTTAACTTGCTGCAGAAACTGCAAAAAAATGTAGAAATGTTACCTTATAAAACGGTAAAAGCAAAAAATTCAAATACTTACAAGATTAGTATTCTGTTCCTGAGGATCAGTGAGTGAGCTATTTTCTTGCAGTACAACCTGTGAAGCCTCATCGACTAGTTCTAAAACCATTACTAACTACAGGAATATAAAATAATTTTAAAAAAACTGATCCTTGTTTTTCCAAAATGTCGTCCACCAAACTGCAATACTTTCTGCAGTCGCTCGTTCATGCTGCACACGAGCACTGGCTAATTGCCTACATTAGTTACACGTTTTAACATTTGAAAGAACGTTATTTAAGCCCCTTTTGAAAGTAAAGCATATTTTTTCCCAATTTAGAACTAAATCTTTATGCATATTTAAGGCTAAGAAACAGTAACAAAAAATATTAGCATTGAAATAAGTGCTTAACGAAAAAATTAACAAAAAAACTGTGAATTAAACGCATGACTAAAGGTAAATCCAGTTACTCACCCGCAGACTTCTTAACTTTCTTTAATGGAAGAAGTTTGCGACCTTTACTTCTTGCTTTCTTGATTACTGAGGAAAGTTTCGATTTTTCGCTTTGAGAGACAGTTCCGCTTCCACATGTTGAGTTATCATTCTCATCATAAGAACCCGTTTCTGTCGACTTCATACTCTTAAATCTCAAGCTGACTTATTCCGTAACTGAATGATAGTGTGTTTTACATATTTAAAATCAAATTACATAGTTAGAAAGTGCAGAATATCCGGACACTGTAGACGCATTCGACTCCTTATGATGCAATTTAATACTACAATTGCTGTTACCGCCGACCGAAGAAGCTAACGAATCGTCATCACCTTCCTTACCTTTCTGCTAGAAGTACGATTAATGAAAGCTAAAAATAAAAAAACTAATAAAATCAAAAAATTCTTCCCCCATTACCTGTCAGCCACAATGGTTTTTTTTTTTTTTTTTGATGTCCCACCGCCTGCAGTTAACAAAGAGCCGATAAACAACTGATGAGACAATAGTCAAGTATCAAGCTTTAAATTTCTACCGCAGTCATTATCAGAAACATAAACTTTTCTATTCAGAATTATGTGATCAAATTCACTATACAACATCATTCTTCATCATCAATGCAAAAAAAACTTAACTGCAAAAAAAAAATAATAATAATAATAATAATAGCCCCAACAGAAAGCAAGCAACGAGTTAACCGATTCCACCTACTTTATAACTTCAGAAAAAGATGACGGCCGATAACTTCAGCTATTCAGCCAAAAAGTATGAAAGTTATATGATTCTAGACCAAAAAAATATAACCAAAAAAAAGAACAAAAGAAAAAAACGTAAAAGGAAATTTTGCGTTCAATAAAACATATTACTGGCAGTTCCGATGTATCGGTCCCGGTGGTACAGTCTGTCAGTTGTCCATCCAATGATGCTGACCGGAACGGTGGTGCATCCAAATCCTAAACCTGGCAATTATGTATCAAAAAACATAACTTCAATCAGATCTTTTTTCTCCTATCTTTTCCATTGTTTCTTTTTTTTTTTTACATTTCAAGAAACTGCTGGTGAATGAGTGACAGTGCAAAAACGAAAACAACAAAAACTAAAGTAAGAAACAAAAAAAAAGAAATAATCATGCATAAAAATAAACCTTTAAAAAAAACGTATGTAATATAAAATGCAGACAAGAAAAAGATGCAGGATGCGTAGACAAAATGAATAAATGAACAAAAGAAGATTTTTTAAACCAATAATATACCAATCTGTTTCACTAATGGATATACTAGTATTTGTAGTCAACCCTCCATAATACAAAAGATCAAAAAGAAAAAAAGATGTTTCATTCGATGAACAGCGAGAATGAAACGGAAGAAAGAGTAAAGCAACAAGCGACACGCAAACCAAAACAAAACTTGGGTCAGGAATTATCGTAGAGCAAAACCGATACCTACAGTATCATTGTCAGTACACCGTGGCAGACAACCAGACAAATTTGCTTTTCAAAGGTAGTAAGGGTCCAAAATAAGTTACACCAATCGGCAAATAAACAGCTTTTGTTCAAATTAATATCAAATGAGAAAGAAGCAAAAAAAATAGACAAATATGGATAATCTGAAAAAGGTAAAGAACAATTATATTTTCTACGCTTATCGCCAAAACCACATTCACCTCTGACACTGATACATACTCAAGCAGCGGCATCTATCAAAAAGCGTTTCTTTATGTCGTTAAAACACCCTGATTTACTTCCTCTTAAAACGGTCCAATTAATTATGCTTTGCTTGTAATTGAATTTAACATCTATATCTATAAACCAAAAAAATAAATAACCCGAATAAAATAAGATTAAAATGAACTGAACTCAAAGAGTGATACTACCGGCAGTTCTCCGTACCGCTGTACTAAATGTACTTCAGTAAATTTTTTCAAAAAAAAAAGCTAAAAAACCATTATAGAGTAGTTCCATTATTCAAAAATTTTCTAAAATGAACAAAATGTACTACTGCCTTCCTGTTTCATCTTTTTCACTTCGCT